TAATTTCTATAAAAAAAAATAGTTATTTACAAAAATACCCTCCAAATTCTTTAACTTTGTATACTATTTTTATTGTAATAGTTTTATTACCCTCCACATAGGGCCGGCCTAATGGTCAAGAAAGTAAAATCGTTACTTAGGATCCTTTATTTATAGGGGCCCCTAAATTTTCTAACAGTTAATGTATTTGTCATATTTTTAACAATATTAAGTATTTGAAAAAAAAAACAAATACAATTTTCAAGGAAAGGGGGCCATTGGAGAACAATTGGAAAAGGAATATATTTTTGGGATCCATGCCTTATTTACACGTGAACATTCCACAATCTTGCCTCATTTATGTACCATCATTATTATAAATGGGCTCACATTCTTTTATCGTAAAAATAGTACGGGCTAGCTAGTTTTCGAACTGATAATTAAAAAATAGCCAGTGATTGCAAAGTCATTGAAAAATAGCCACTATTTTACTGCAACACGGACCGGTCCAGCATAATATAGTGGGGATTGATGCACATGTGTATGAACTTCCAGTATATTATGCTGGAACTCCAACACGCAGAAAGTTCCAGCATAATATACTGGAGATTGGAGCACCTGTGTATGAACTTCCAGCATATTATTATGCACCGGTATATTATACTGGAACTCCAGTATATTATGCTGGAATATTTTTCGGATTTTTAATAGTGTTTTCGTTCAAATTTATCTTTATATGAAAAGTGACTAAATTTTGATTACTTTTGAAACTGTGGCTATTTTTCATTTACCACTTATAAATCTGGCTATTTTTGAATTTCTCCCTCTTTTATCTATTTTTATCTTTCTCTGCAAAAGTCTATTAACTTTTACTCTTCTATTGTTCCTTTGACCTTCTCTACATTCCAATCTCATTGAGTCACTATTACAAAATAAAAGAGCAGAACACAAGTACCATCTGTTTTATTTGTTCTCAAGTATTTTGGCGTTACATCAAAAAATTTGAAGTAGCAAAAGCTTATCAAATTATCTATTTGTTGAATCATGTTTGATTGTTCTATATTTTATTATTTGCATCTACTTTTTAACTTTTTGGATATATTTTCTTTGTAAGTATATATTGTTTTTAGTTATTTATTGGAGTTTTAATATGTTAACTAGAAAATATGAATCCGGATGTTCAAAACGTCAAAAAAGAAAAATGATTGAAACTCTAGTACAATCCCAAAAAGGAGCACTTGATAAATTTGTAGCGAATAGTAAAAATTCTAAATCAGAAAATGTGAAAGAATTTATGATAGATGAACAAATCACTAATATAATTGAGATAGACAATAATAAAATTCAAGAAGAAGAGGAAGGAGGAGAAGTTGGCGAGAAACCTAACATATATCCTCAAGAAAAATAAGAAGTTATAAATAAGTTGGATAATTATACTCCTAGGAACATATATGATCCTAGTTAATGGACTAGCATAGATACAAAGTTGAGAGATCTATTAGTAGAAAAGGGGCCAATTAAATTACTAACATAGATTTTTCAAAGGATAAATTCTTTAGACATTTTTCTACCACAAATTATATTCAAAAATTGGCTAATGGAGAAAGACATGAAAGAAGATGGTTAGTTTACTCTAAAGATTTGGATAAGGTATTTTATTTTTGTTGTAAGTTGTTTAATACGACTTCTAGTTTTTGTAGCAGTAAATTAGCTAGTGATGGTAGTAATGATTGGAGAAATATAAGTGCTAAGCTAAAAGTTCATGAAATATCAAAAGAGCATATTATTAATATGGGTGCATGGATTGATTTAGAAATGAGATTGCACAAAAGTAAAATAATTGATAAAGATGTTCAAGAACAAATCAATAGAGATAGAGAGCACTGAAAAAATATATTACCAAGAATTATTGTTGTGATAAAAACTCTTGAAAAAGATAATTTGGCATTTAGGGGAAAAAATAAAAAAATCTATCAAGAAAGTAACGGAATTTTTTTGAGTCTAATTGAAATGATTGAAGAATTTGATCCAATCATGCAGGAACATGTTCGCCGAATTAAGCATGATAAATCCATAATCATTACATTGGACATAATATACAAAATGAATTGATAAATTTATTAGCTAGTGAAATTAAGAATAAAATTATTGACAAAATTATAGAAATAAAGTACTTCTCAATCATACTTGATTGCACTCCAGATGCAAGTCATCAAGAACAAATGTCTTTTATATTACGGAGTGTCGATATCATTGTAACTCCTGTAAGAATTACTGAATATTTTTTAGAGTTTTTAAAAGTTGATGATATAAGTGGAAAAGGTCTTTTTGAAGTTATTGTAGATGAGATAAAAAATATTGGACTTGATATTGATAATTTAAGAGGATAAGGATATGATAGTGGATCCAATATGAAAGGAAAACACCAAGGAGTGCAAAAAAGACTACTCGACATAAATCCTAGATCATTTTATACACCATGTGGTTGTCATTATCTGAATTTGATACTTTGTGATATGGCTAATTCTTGTACCAAAGCTATATCATTTTTTGGAGTAGTACAACACATATATTCACTATTTTTCTCTTCTACTAAGTGATGGAAAATCTTAAAAGATAATGTACCCAGCCTAACTCTTAAATCATTATCACAAACGCGTTGGAAAAGTCTTATTGAAAGTATTAAAGCAATAAGATTTAAAACTCCACAAATAAAAAATGCTTTATTGAAATTAGTAGAAGTTAGTGAGGATCCAAAAACTAAAAGCGAAGCTAGTTGTTTAGCAACTTATGAGCTTGAAAATTTTGAGTTTTTACTGGGTATGACTATTTGGTATGATATACTATTTGCAGTTAATTTAGTTAGCAAACATTTACAATCAAGAGATATGCATATTGATGTTGGTATAGATCAACTTAGGGGTTTGATTTCTTTTTTCAAAAAATATAGAGAAGAAGGATTTGCAACTGCCATGATTTCTGCTAAGAAAATTGCATATGAGTTGAATATAGAACCTTAATTTCGTAATAAATGTGTAATATATAGAAAGAAATAATTTGATGAGAATGTTGATAATGAAATTACAAAGTCTTTAAAGAATCTTTTAGAGTTGATTACTTCTTATACATAGTAGACCAAGCTATTTTTTCACTTTAAAATATATTTGAACAATTTGAAGCGTATGAAAATATTTTGGTTTCCTATTTAGTGGCAAAAAGTTGAGATCTCTAGATGATGAGAACTTAAAAGAAAAATTGTCTTAACCTTGAATGTTCTTTGAAACATAATAGTCACTCTGATATTGATGGTTTAGACTTATTTTCTGAATTAATAGTTTTAAGGGAAATAATACGCGTAGAAGATGATACTCTAATCGATATACTTAATCATATAAAAAGACTTGATTTTTTTCCAAATGCTTATATTGCTTATAGAATAATGTTAACAATTCCTGTAACAGTTGCCTCAGTGGAAAGAAGTTTTTCAAAATTAAAATTAATAAAATCTTACTTAAGATCAACAATGTCTCAAGATAAATTAAATAGATTAGCTATATTATTATTGAAAAAGAATTATTAGAAGAAATCGATTATGAACAAAGTTTTTAATAATTTCGTATCTCAAAAAGCTAGAAAAATAAATTTCAAATAAAATTATGAGTTTTCTTCTGCAACAAAAATCTTAGGGTCCCTTATTGAAGTTTGACTTTAGGCCACAAATATCATTGAGCCGCCCCTGCCTCCACGTACTCTAAATTTTCATCAGAAAAAATCTTGTTAAATGGGTACGTATAAGCTTATTACTAGAGAGTTGAACAAAGTCCAACCAATTACATTGCGTACCCAAATATTATTTTGTTAAAGTATCAAGTTAATTGTAACAACGGATTCAAGAAAAGTGAAATGCAAAAAGAGAACAAAAAGGCAAAACAGGATTTGAGGGGCAATTAAATTTTAACTATGTTTATGCAAGTATTAACAACCATTGCATTGCTAATACTATAGTTTGCTATGTACTAGTTATACATAGGATAATACCAAATAGGATATTAATCATACATAAATTAAAAAATATACCAAACAAGGGATTAGTAGTGCACAAAGCTAATACTTACATTATTTTTTCTAATACCTCGTACCAAACGACCCCTGCGTGTTCGGGCAAGGCTTATAGATGGACTAATGACCCAAATTCAATAAATCTTTTCTTAACCTTTACTGGGGAGCACGGATATAGTGACATATAATGTCGTTGTTGTGCTCTTAAGTTAAATACATCATCATAATAAAGAATCCTGACAGTTCACATATTTTATTTTAGCCTATATATTTCAGATAAATTTCGGCAAAGCTTATTATTGAAATATAAGTACGGCGTGTTTATACCAAACCAATAGAATGATGCATATGTTCACATATAAACTTCTTTTATTTGACCATAATTAGTTGATATATTTTCTGACTTCATCAAATCACTTAACCAAAATAAATTGATACGATTCGGTACAAAAATTTGGTACAGGTAAATTTTTACCATGCAACAATGCATAAGCTCTCTTGTTTCTTGAAGTAGCTCTTTTGCTACTTCTTATTATGTGGAAACCAAATTTCTTTTGACAGAAGTAATATCTCCAAAGCTACTTAATTAATTTATGATCAAGGTTAGGCCGTGGTCAATATTAATAGGTGTGAGATGGGGTTACGGCGCAACATTTTGACAAGTGTCTGGCTTTTTCTGTTTTGATAATATGGGAATTTTCATTCGGCAATATTATGGTGGCGAAATGTCCGAACCTCTTTCATCGAAAAATTACATTGTGCATATTAAAGAGGAAGGCTGTAGACGGAATGAAGGAGAGTTAATTTTATTAATGTAGTAACTCTTTATATAGAGCAAAATTACAACAACAAATGTTCTGGAAGATACAGATACATACAACCTAACAAACTCCTAAAGAAAAGGCTAACAAAAAGATACAGATAAGGGCTATGTTAATGGATAAGGTTGAATCAGTTAAGAGTCCTTTACACGCCCCCGCAAGGTGGGGCTGGTGTCAACTAGACCCAACTTGAGATACATATGTAGAAATGCAGAACTGGGCAGCGGCTTCGTAAGAATATCTGCAACTTGATCTACAGCATGAAGGCGATGGACCTCGAGAACCTTATATTGCACTAGCTGACGAACAAAGTGGAAATCTATCTCAACATGTTTCATACGGCTATGAAAAGCCGGATTGGCACAAATGTAAGTAGTGCTCATGTTGTCTCAGAGAATGCGAGGAGGACTGGACAGTGGAAAGTGAAGCTCACGAAGCAAGTTTTTGAGCCAGACAACTTCAGAGGTTGTAGCTACAACAGCTCTCTATTCAGCCTCAGTAGACGATCGAGAAACAGAACGTTGCTTCTTAGAAGACCATGAGATAGGAGAATCACCAAGATATACAACATACCCTGTTATAGATGTTCGATCAAATGGGTCACCAGCCCAATCCGAATCAGAATAGGCAACTAATTGAGTAGCAGATTTTTTAGCAAGCTTAATACCAAGATGAGCAGTGTGACAAAGATATCTCAGAAGACGCTTGACAGTTTTCCAGTGAGAAACACCTGGTTGATGCATAAATTGAGATAATTTGCTTACTGCAAAGGCAATGTCAGGACGAGTAAAGGATAGATAATGAAGCTTTCCAATGACTCGACGATAAAGAGTGCCATCCACTTTGGAATCCTCACGAGATGTTTCAAAGGTACATGTAGAGGTCATGGGTGTGGGAGCGCCTTTGCATTCAGCCATGTTAACATCTTGGAGAAGATCTTTGACATATTTATGTTGAGATAAGAGCAATCCATCTGATGCGTGCGTAACCTCAACGGCAAGAAAGTAATGAATCAACCCAAGATCTTTAATAGAGAACCGTGAAGACAGAGCATTAATAATGGATTTCATAGCAGTTGGCTAGTTACCAGTCACAATAATATCATCCACGTAAACTAGGATGTACACAGTAACTCCAAGCTTATGAAGAATAAAAAGAGAAGCATCAAATTCGCACTTGATAAAACTAAGGGTAAGAATATAATTTTTCAGCTCAGTGTACCAAGCTCGTGGAGCTTGTTTCAAGCCATAGATAGCTTTATTAAGTTTACATACATGAGTATGATTATGTCTAGATTCAAAACCTGTAGGCTGCTTCATGTATACCTTTTCTTCAAGCTTTCCCCGTAAAAAGATGTTATTAACATCCAACTGGTGAATGGGCCAGGATAGTTGAGTTGCAATAGCAAGAACTGAACGAACAGTTGTAGGTTTAACCACCAGGCTAAAAGTTGAGTGATAGTCTAAACCAGGTCGCTATGTGAAGCTTTTCATAACAAGTCTTGCTTTGTACCTGTCAATCGAACCATCAGGCTTATGCCTAAGCCTAAACAACCATCTGCAATCAACCACATTCTTTTAGGGATCCCTGGGTACCAAGTCCAAAGTCATGTTTCTAACTAAAACATCAAATTCAGACTGCATAGCAGTCCGCCATAAAATTGTGCTTGTTTAAAGGTCTTTGGTATAGGTTCAGGCATGAGTGTGGATTGAACTGATAGGTGAAATTGCTTGGAATTTAGACTGTTAGTCTGCGACCTTGTGACCATTGGGTGACGAAGTGGAGGTTTGGTAGGCGTGGTCGTAGAGAGTGGGAGTTGATTGGTGTGTGGTACAGGCTGCTGGGGGAATGTGTTTCGGCGTTAGTAGGTTATGGTGATAGGTTGTGTGATTCTTGGAGTAGCTGCGGAGATGGGCTGGTTCAAAATTGGAGATGGGTTTTGGTTATCTTGGTCAGAGGAGTTAGATTCAGGTTGTGAAGATTAGTTATGATTATCTTGCCCAGAGAAATTAGAGGAAGATGGATCATTACCTGAACTTGAAGAGGCACACATAGGAAGAGGAGAAGCAATTGGCGACTGTATATGCCTGGAGATTGGAGGTGGCAGTTCAGAATTTGCACTTAAAAGAAATATATCAGTATTTTTCTTTTTAAAGCTAATATCTTTATCTAATGTATCCCATGCGGGGAGTTTATTAGTTTCCCTATATTTTTGAAAGATATTTGCAAAGGAATAATTATTTTCAAAAAATACCACATCTCTAGAAAGATAGATTTTAGAGGTGACAATCAAAACACTAATGAGAATAATATTTATTCGAAAAACCTAAATAAACACATGGCATTGACTTGGGTTCTAGTTTATTTTTGGCATATAGTATGAGCCATGGATAACATAAACAACTAAAAGTTTTAATAGACTCATAATTTGGTGCTTCTTGAAATAAAATTTCATACGGGCACCGATTATTTAAAATTGGTGTAGTGAGTCTATTTATAAGATAAATAGCTTGGTGGCAGGCAAAACTCAAAAATTTAGGGGGTAACGAGGCTTGGTGTAAAAGTGTTTTTGCAGTTTCAATAACATGTCGGTGATGACGTTCTACCAACGCAACTCGTTGAGGAGTGTATGGTGGGGAAACCAAGTGCTCAATACCCTGTGATTTTAAATAGGAAGTTAAGCTTTGAAATTCACCTCCTCGATCAATATAAAAAGAAGAAATTATTGTTTGAAAACATCTTTCTAAGAGTGGATGTAGGGTTTGAACAACTTCCAAAACTTCATGTTTAGATTTCAAGATGTATAGCCACATATATTTTGAAAAGTGATCTACAAATATAACATAGTATCTTTTTTGATCGATGGATAAAATTAGTGCAGGCCCCCATAAATCACTGTAAATTGTTTGTAGGGGTCGTTGACTCTTCAGGGAGTTAACTGAGAAATGTAACATGTGGCTTTTATTAGAATTCAGGAATTACAATTAGAACTAACTCTCGAAGAACTAACAGAAATTGAAAACTTATGCAAATATTATTTAAAGTGCGACGATTTGGATGACACAAACGTCGGTGCCACAGTTGAATTGGAACAGCCACGTTGCACTGGGGATGCGTATCTGGTGGCCACGTGTACAGTCGCCCATTACTCCGCCCCCGTATTCAGATCCTTCACAAGATAAGAAAATAGAAAGAATTCCATGGATATGTTATTATCACGGCAAAATTGAGAGACGGATATGAGATTAATTTTTATGGCAGGAGAACAGAGAGTTTTAGATAGGGTAAAGCGATAATCTGATGCTTTAAGTTCAGTGTTACCAGTTTGGGAGATAGGTATGCTAGTACCATTACCCATGGCGATTTGCTCAGGTCTGTGGTAGCCTTGAGCAGTTGCTAAGCTTTGAGCATCTAAGGCAATGTGATGTGTGGCCCCCGTGTCGATGATCCATGATGGTTGTTATTGTGATTGACGTCCAGCGAAGTTGGCTCTAGCCTGGAAATGATTGTGGGACTGGCTGCGACAAGAGTGGCCAGGACGATCACATAGCTGGCAAACCAGATTGTTGTTAGACTGAGCAAAGTTCTTACGAGGCTTCCATGGTTGGCCTCGATTGGGTTGATTGTTGTTTGTGTTATTGTAAGGCCTGCTGTTGGTATTGTTGCAAGGTTGAGCAGTAGATCGTTGTGCAATACCAGTAGTAATGGAATTTGAGAGAGAAGCATGAGTGTCATGATGCTTCAGGAAGAGTTCATGGTCAAGTAACTTTTCATATAACTCTTCATATGAGATGGTAGTATCTCGTGCCCGAATAGCCGCTGAAAATTCTTTGAAATATGATCCAAGACCAGTGAGTATCTTCACAATGAGTTCCTCGTTGGATACATGAGCACCAGTTGTAGCAAGCTCATCACAGAGAGAGCGAATTTGATGCATATAGTCAGCAACAAGTAAAGCATTCTTTGCAAGACGAGCTAAGCGATCTCGTAAACTAAAAATTCGTGTTTGGGATTTATTGGCATACGCTATGTGAAGCGCATCCCAAGCAGCCTTTGAAGAGGTTGCTGAAGCAACAGATGCAGCAAGGGTAGGATCAACTGAAGACAGGATGGCATTTTGAATAAGCTGATCTTGGCGAAACCAGGATAGGTACGCAGGGTTGTCAACAGTTTGATTGATTACAGCTTGTTTGGATGGTTGTTACCTATTGTATTGTATTGTATTTTTACTTTAAATACGATATTTGTTTTGATTGTTATTTAAATTTTATTGTATCGTATCGTTAAATCCATCGTTACGTAACGACGGATTGTTCCACTTTATGTAACGACCGATTTGGTGTGGTCGCGTCGTTACCTTATCTTTTTCTCTCAATCTCACCCTTCATTATTATTAAATAATTTTATTTTATCATTTACCCTACCTTTTTATATACCGTATCATAATTTTTTTTAATAATATTGTAAGTTTATTCTCTGGTGTGTGATATCATAAAATGATGACAAAGGATATAATCTATCCAAACATTGTATTTATCAAACGATACGATGCAATACAATACAGTACAATACAATATAATACAATACATTATAAAACGATATGTAACAACCATCCAAACAAGTTGTTAAGGAGATGGTTTGGCTAGGGGCAGGAGTAGTTTCCATCAAGATGGCCATAGATATCGTGCCCGCGCATAAGCATCGACACCTGAGCCTTCCAGATGGAAAAATTATGACTACCGCAAGCTTAATAGGAAGTTGTGTGACGGTTAAACTGAACAACAGTGTTGTTGTTTGCAGTGTCAGCATTAACAACAGTAGCAGCCATTTGGGTCGCGTAGGGATGGGGAAAAGTAATTAGGATCTGACTCGCAAGAGTACTTTTAAGCTCCTGATACCATAAAAAGGAAAGTTGTAGACTGAATGAAAGGGAGTTAATTTTATTAATGAAGTAGTAGCTCTTTATATAGAGCAAAATTAAAACAACAAATCTTCTGGAAGATACAGATACATACAACCTAACAAACTCCTAAAGAAAAGGCTAACAAAAAGATATAGAAAAGATACATAAGGGCTATGTTAATGATACATGAGCTATATTTCTATATTGTTTTTTCTGGAAGCCATTTGTTTTTTACACATATAAGATCAAATATTATTTTTATGTGTATACATTAGATGTTGAATCCTTACGCTTCTTCGCGCGTTTACTTTTTCTATTTTTTAAACTTGGTGAAAATCCTGCCTCCACCACTTATCAGCAAAATAGAGTAAAAACCTCTAAAATAATGAATGAGAATTTCTCATTAAAACGAGAATAGGTAAACCAAAACAATATTCTTAAAAGTCACATAACTTACACTATTCTTATTATAAGAAAAATCAAATTATGGTGGATGTCGACTCTTCCTCCATAATCTTCATCTCAAATGCTTAATGTCATATTCAATGACATATTTTTCTTTAATTTTCATGTCTATATAAAGGCCTTGTAATAGATAGGAAAATACACACAATTGAAGAAGAAATAAGAATCTCTCCCCTCTCTCTATCTCTTAGCTTGTTTTTTCTTGTTCTATATTGTTACTTTGAGCTATATTTCATAACAATTCTGGCATTATTGCAGGTCCTTAATCTGTGATAATTGAACAAAGTGGCAGACCACTTAGCTAAATATGGTATTGGAATGCAAAACACTAGAAATATTTTGCTTTTTATAGTTCCTCCTCTATTTGCTTGATATGTTCGAAAACAGAGATTTCGGAACTACCTACTATGCAAAAACTACAGCATGTAATATTACTCTCCAGTTATAATTTGTATATAATATATATCTTTCTAACCAAAAAAGTAAACAAAGTTAGATTGAACAGATTGAAATTTGATCTTTTATTCACACTAACAGCTCCGAATATCGAATTTGCAATTTCTCCAACCAATATTGGCAGGAATACAGGATAAAATGCAGACAAAAAAAAAAGTAAGAGAGATTAAAAGGGGTGGAGGGGGGAGGGGTAGTTGGCATACAAATAGGGAAAAGAGGATCACTACACAGTAATAATTTTCTAAAAATAGAGAATAGAAGCCTCTTGTCACAGCATTTTATTCAACCAAATTGGCAGTTTTTTTTGGTCATCTCAAATGGTATCTCTCGCTTCACTCAGCAGCCAATGGAACAGCTTCAGCCTAAACAAAAACCAAGAGAAAAACTTCATTAACAGATTCAAGAATTAAGAAAATTTAACATTAATGATTCTCTAAGATAATGCAATCAATTATATTGTATCTTAAACACTAGGAGAAGGGCAAGGAAGAAGAGGAACTCACCATCTTGCGGTATTTGAGAGCATAAAACATTTCAAGATATCGACGGATTTCTAGACGATCAAGCTTAGAAACATGTTTCCAGAACCCGTAAACAGCAGCCAATGTCAATAGCCTCTCCGAGTAGATTTGCCACGTGTACCTGTATATATCAGTAGTAGAGACGCGATAAAATATCAATCAACTACGCCTCAAATCCCGAGTTAATTTCAATGACTAGAGTCAAGAAAGTTAATTTCAATGACTAGAGTCAAGAAAGAGTTGCTTACTTCTCTTGGATGCGCTTCAGGCCACCCGTTGAAATGGTTTCCCAATGAGAAGGTTCTGTCTTACATTTCTCAAAGAAATCAGCTAGCAGATCAGCAGCTTGCTCACCGTGATATGGATCGATGTGGAAGCCAGATTTTCCGTTAACGATGATCTCAGCTGGACCGCCATGATTAGTTGCAAATGTAGGCAAACCACAGGTCATGGCCTCAACAACAGTCAAACCGAAAGCCTCGTAGAATGCAGGCTGCACGAAAGCTCCTCTAGTGTCAGCAATGTATCGGTAGAGTTCACCGTTCCTCACTCGGTTCATCTGTGAAGAAATCCATCTGAATTGGCCATTTAAATTGTGAGTCTTTATTAGCTCATACATCTTTTTCATTTCTGTTTGCTCTTCCAAATCTTTGGATTCTTTCCTTCGATCTCCACCAACCACAACAAGGTTAACCAACTCCCTTAGCCGTGCGTTCTTGGCATACCACTCAACAAGTCCGGTTAAATTCTTCACACGATCCAATCTCGCCATTGTGAATAAGATTGGCTTATTCCTGTCCTTTAGCACACACCTGCCAAAATCACAACATGTTCAGCA